CGCACCCGCTCCTTGCTTGTCCTGCCATGGGGTGGGGAACAGAGGGGTTGACATCACCCAGACCCCTCACCAAGGGTCCCCCCCGCGCCAGCACTGACCGCCTGAGCCGGGCGCGCTGCCGGGGCGAGGGCAGGGTGGGCAGCGGCAGCGCGAAGGACGTGCTCTTGCTGGGGGGCAGCGGCCGCGGGGCCCCGGGGGGCACCGGCTGGGCCAGGCAGGCTTTGGGGCTCCGCTTCTTCCTCCGGTCCTCCATCCCGGTGGGGACACTGGACGGACACAGCTCTCAGCGGCCTCTCGTCCCCGGGGAGGATTGGGGTCCCCCCCCGGGGAGGCGGAGGTGGCGGGAGGGTTGAGTCTGGAGCTCGGACCCCCCGTTCCCGGGCGGCGGGGGCTCAGGCGGCGGCGTTATCCCGGTGTCTGCGCTGGAGCATGGCGGCGCGGAGCAAAGCCGGGGCCTGACGCGCGGCTGGGAGCTGCCGGCCGGGCCTCGGCGTCTTCCCCAGCGCTGCAGAAAAGAGGATTTTTGGCCACGCGTGTCCCGGGGCCCAGCGACCCCCGCTGCCCTCAGGGACACGGACCGCGGGGGGGACCATCACCCCGGGGGCACCGGCCGAGCTCCCCCGGGGACCTTCGTGGCAGCGAGAGCCCCTTTGTCCGCAGCCCCCAGCCCCGGCGGGGGGGACTGACCTGTGCCAGGCCCCCGGCCGGTGGGGCCAACCCAGCCGTGTCCCCGAGCCCTCCGGACACCCCCGAGCCCTCCGGACACCCGTCCTGGCCCCAGGGCTGGGATTTGCATTTAAAGGGAAAGGGAACTTCCTCCGGCCTGTCCCCGAGGCGGTGGCACGGCCGGACACGGGCTGTGAGCGGCGGGATGGCGGGACCCGGCCCCCCAGCTCCGTGCGGGCGTGGCGAAGGGGCAGGATCCGACCCCGGGTCCCCGCCTGGCACCCCCTGCAGCCCCCCCCGCCCCCCCGGGACTCACCCCACGTCCCCCCGGCGTCACCGGACTCGCGTGACCTCAGGCTCCATCTCTGCGGGGACGAGCCTCCCCCCTCCCGCGGGGGGAGATTAAGGACAGGTCCCGTCCCCCAGCCCACGCGGAGCTGAAGGCGGCTGCTTATTGACAGCCTGGCGGGACTTTAAGCCGATCTCGGACATTTTGGAGGCTGGGGGGGGAGTCGACACCCCCTTGCCTGACCCCACGGGGCAGGAGGGGCTGATCAGCTCACGGCCAAATTAATTAGGAACAAGAGAGGCGGCGGCAGCGGGGTTGGGTGGATTTCTATTGGATGTGAAGATACAATAGTCCCTGCAGGGGTTCTCTCTACCATAACAGGGAAAAGAAATTGAAAAATAAAAGGGGGTTTGGTGACTTCTGAGAGGTTTTTCTTTTACTGACAGAGTGGGGAGAGCAGTGGGAAGTGCAGAGCCCGGCTGCAGCCCTCGCCCAACGGGGTGCTCCCACCAGCACAGGGGGACATTTACCTCCTGGGGGGCTGCTGCCGGAGGCAAACGCGTCCCTGCACGGGAGGAAGCAACGCTGACAGCGAGGGGACAGAACAAAGCCACGCTCAGCACCAGGGAACATATCCCAGTGGATTTTCAAGACTGTGGCTCTGCAGAGCCTCATTAGACCCTGTCTCTGCTGCAGACAGACACCTTTGTTAGCCTTGGAGTCCCCGGGGAGGGAAGGGGAGGACGCGGAGGCAGCTCCCCCAGCAGCGAGGCAGGGCCTTCACCATGGCACTGTACAAGGGCGAAGAGGCAGGAGCAGCTGCGTTGCTGGAAAAGAAGCCAAAGCTGTTGTGCTGAACACATCGCTGTGAGGAACAGCTCGGGCCAGCTCGCTTCTGCTTCAAGCCAAAGGAAGGCAATGCTGAAAATAGTGTCTATCGTAGGAGAAGCTGCAGCAAGGAGTTTCCAAGCAAGTAGAGATTTCCCAAAAGAAGAGCAAAAAGAGTCTTGAGAAACTAAAAGAAATGGCCCAAGCCCTGTGCCCGCAGGCCCCACGTCTGTCCATAAACACCCCCTCAGCACAACAGGGTCCTTCGGGCGAGCGCTTCACGCCATGGGCAGAGGCTGCAGGGACCCCCAGACACAGCAGACCTTGGGATGCTCTTCTGAGAGAGCAGAGAGGGAAAGGAGAAAGGGGGGGCTGCGACAGCACCAGTGTGGCCAGTCCAAGGGGCCTGGGGGGGTCGGGAGGGACCAGCCCACAGCACAGTCCTTGAGGCGATTCATCACAAGCAGCAGCTCGTGGGGCAGACACGGGTTTTACCCTCCTGGAGCCCAAACTGCGTGGAGGCCTCCGAGACCACCCGCTCGGCACCCAGGGATGGGCCAGGGAGGTCCCAACGTGGGGACAGAGGGGCCGAGGTAGAGCCTCCCCATCCCCTCGCACGACTGATCACACACGCTTGTGCAAAACACTTGGGAATTAGAGCTTTGGATTAACTGTTTAATACACTTGTGCACATGTGCGTATAGCAAAGAGGCAACTGTGAATCATAAGGCTATTGAGACATCGGCAGGTTCTGGGAAGAGCAAAGGCCCCGCGGGAGGGAGTGGGTGAACCGGGCACCCCCTGTGTCTCTGCTCCTTTTTGTCCCCGTTCAACACACGAAGCCCCCACAGAGGAGGGGTTGTCACCCCCATTTTCTCAGCTCCCACCCTAGAGCTGCCACCGGGGCACAAGGAGCCACGAGTGAGTCTGGGAGCAGAGGAGGGAGGGAGAATCCAGCGCTGGGAAACGCTTCGGGTCTCGGCTCCGTTGGATTTCACCCGATGCCAGAGTCCGTGTGAGGGCGGAGGCAGCGACGCACCCACCGTCCCCGCGCCGGGGCAGAGCCACGCACCCGCTCTCCTCAGCTGCGCTCGCATTTTGGGGAGGCGCATCCATCCTGCCAACGGGCAAGGTCTTCTAGTGAAAGGGACGATCGGTTGAGTCTCCATATATTAGTTATTCACGCACACGCAGGGAGGTGGGTCATCCTAGTTTTCATGTATATCCATATATAAAGTGTACATTGCCCTGCACATATCATATATATATCATATATATATTTATAAAAACTTTAAAAACCCTCCAAAAACCTAAGCTAGGAAATCTCCAATCCGCAGGAGGGCTGTCCTCTCGCGCCTGTCCAAGGACCAGGAGAGGGGCACCAGCTCGAGTCTACGGAAACATTCACATGAACCCTCCCTCGCCCTACCTCTGCCCAGGCCCCGGCAGGCTCACTCGCAGCCCCGGGGGCCTTCCTCAGTCCCGCTCTGCCCCAGGGCTCCTATGCTCAGTTCTCCCAGGCTCTCGGGATCCGTGCTGTGCGTCGGCTTCCCCGAGTGCAGACAATCCTCAGCCGGGCGCTGCTCTGCCGGGGAATCTCCCGCCGCCGCCTCCGGGCCGTCCCGAGACGGGTCCTTCAAAGGCTCCAACAGGTCCGTGTCTGCCCGGGGCGCGTGGGCACACAGGTCCTGCACCTTCTTATTGAGGTCGTTGCGCTCCGTTTGAAGGGCTCGGCACAGTTTCTCCAAGCGCTGGATTTTCACCTGAAGCCCCTCTAGCTCTTTGTCCCGAAGGGTTTTCTGCAAATAGAGAGGCAGTTCAGACTCCACCACACCGGGGACAGAAAGGGGGAAGAGATGAAACCTCAAAGGGAACTTCAAGGGGAAAATACTTGTGGCCAAGCAAACGTTTGGCATTCAAAGGACCTGGTGTTGTCACTGCTTCCTTCTCCGCCTCCACAGAGGCCAAACACCACTGAGACTGACTTCTTCCATGCACCTCTGCACTAATTAACCACCTTCTGCCACACCAGAGAGCTCCCACCACCACGTACAGGGAAGGAAATGAAGCTGAAGGGAAAACCACCACCCCGTGCCCAGGCTGGCTGAGATAAGACAGGAGTTGTCCCGCTACCCCCCAGCACAGCCCCAGCCTCACAGCGCAGCCGGAGCCTCCTCACCTCCTCAGCCATTTCCAGAAGAGCCTTGTTGCTGCTCTCCCAGCGGGAGCGGTACATGGTGGTCTCTTTCTCCAGCTTCTTGATTTTCTTAGTCATCTACAGAATCACAGGGACATAAAGGGAACAAATAAGCCACGGGCAGAGGCGCTGCAGTCAGTTACATCTCGTGTGTCCCAGGATGTCCCGAACAAATAAGCCACGGGCAGAGGCGCTGCATCTCATGTGTCCCAGGATGAGCAAGGTCCTGCTGTCCTGGGAAATGTCCCTTTGTGTCACTGCTGTCAGCATCACTCGAGGGAAACACTGACCGGGCACCGTGTCCTGGGAAATGTCCCTTTGTGTCACTGCCGTCAGCGTCACTCGAGGGAAACACTGACCAGGCACCAAGAAAACAGGAGACAGGGGTGGTGCTGCTTGTTCTGACACAGAGGGGACACAGAAGTCACTGTACAAGGACAGTATCAAATCTTCTACGAGCAGCCAGCCCGTGCCTGATTTTAATACCAGCAAAACTGAATAAAAATACAGAGCTGAGGCTTTTCCAGCTCGTGGAAGCATCGAGGAGAGACCCACAGGCAGGGTCCCCAGCCCACACAAGCGCTGCCAGGCAGCCAAAGTGTTACCTTCTCCATCTCCTGTTTAAATGTGGTGAACACTTCACTGCTTTTGGAAAGGGTGTTCTGGAATTCTTCAAACTTCTCCGTGTAGAGAGCCAGCTGCGGGGAGAAACAAGGTTACAGCTCCTCACCACGGCACCTCCTGACAGCCTTCCCCGGGGGAGGGGAGAGGTCAGCCAAGAGCTGAGCGAGTTCTCTCGTGACTGGACTTTATGACAAACAAACAGGCAGGACGGAGCTGCCCTGCCAAACTTGGGTACCAGGGAATGTGGAAAAATTCCTTGTCATGGAAACATCCTCAGAGACCGATGTGTTCCACAAACATCTCCTGCCCTTGGCAGGAGGCACTTGCTGGGTCCAATTCAGCAAGGTATGACCACATGACTCTACCAGCACCGGGAAAAGCACTGGGAAAAACCTCCCAAAAAGGTGGAATTGCTGGAGGAAGCCTCAGCTCCCATCGTGCTGACACGGGCTCACCGATACCAAACCCAGCAGCGACCCTGCCCCTGTGTTTTTCCACACTAAGGAACTCCGGGTTGTTCCTCACTGAGTGAGGAAGGAAACCAAATAAGCAGGCCGAGTACACAGACTGGGTAACTCACCTGCTGCTTGAGATGGGTCTCCTGCTGCTTCATCAGCTCACACATCCTCTGCGATTCCACAGCTTCCTTCAGCAACTAGGGAAGAGCAAAACAGTCACCTGGCTGCCACCAGGGAAAGCTCTCAACATGCCCCTGCAGGGCTGGAGCTTGCCCTGGAGACGGGAGAGGGCTGGGAGAAACACAAAGAGGGCTCTAGCCCTGCTCCTGAAGGAATGGTCACTGCTGGACACTCAGGAGGGCTGGGGTGGGCTGCTCTGATTTGGGCTCTGCTGTTGGGATCCAACAGCAACCAACCTCCACAGAGGGACAAGGCAAAAATCAAAGTGCTCGCAACCACCAGAGAATCACTGTAAGACTTACAAAGTCCTTCTCCCGCTGGTGTTTCTCCTCTGCCTCCTTCAGCATTTCCTGCGCCTGCTGGAGCTTGGCGTCCACCAGCTGCTGCTGCAGGTCCTTGTGTTTGAACACCTTGTCGATGTGCTGCCAAGGGAACACCATCAGTCACTGACAGGCTCAGCCCAGTCCTTGCTCCCCAGGAAGTGACCCAAAGGGAAGATCCCAGAGGTGCCTTTTCCCCTCCAGCAGCAGAAACAGCCTTCACAGGGCAGAAGGGATGTCCCAGAGCAGCCCTGCACCGGGTCTCCCGCCCCGACCCACCTCCTCCCGCAGCTCGTACTGCTCGATGAGCTTCTTGAGCCGCTCTGCCAGCTCCATGTTCTCCTGGCGCAGCTTGGAGTTCCTCTCGTTGTGCTGCTCCATCTGCAGCTGGATGTCGTTCAGCGTCACCTGGAAGTGGGATGTCACCTCCCTCCGCTTCTCCTCTTCCTCCCGCGTACGCTGGACACCTTCTTCCTGCGTGAGGAGAGCAGAGACAGCAGGGACACGTCAGGCTCTGGGCTGGGCAGGGAGGTGAGCAAACTGCCCAAACCGCGATGCTTTGAACCCACCCAACCTCCCACTACCCCTTAGATCAATCAGGAAGGGACTCTGGGCCTTTCCCCTCGCTTTCTCCAGTGAATACACCCTGAAATAACCGTCAGGCACCGTGGATAATGACGGGTTAACAGCAAAATTAAAACAGTGCTCTGGATGGCAGACTGTGGGCAATCACTGGTAAGGGTAAGTTTGCCAAAATGGCTCAGGGCAAGTGATCCAAGCGCTGGGGAAGAAGCAGCTCCTGAAACGGCGCCCGGGAGGCACTTGCCTTGAGGGTGCGGTTGTGTCTCTGGAGCTCGCGGCACAGGCTCTCCAGCTTGCTGCGGGCCAGGATGGCTTTGCTGTGCTCGCTCTGCAGGTGGTCCTTCTCCTGCACCAGCTGCGTCTGCTTCTTCTGCAAGATCTTCATCTGTTTCTGGGAGTTACGGTGCTCTTCCAGCTGGGACAGGGGAGCAAAGGGCACAGATGCAGCAAAACAGACCACGACAATATGCTGTGCCCCTACGAGGGGACGTGGGGGTCAAAGAAGTGCTCTCTGCGCTCTGAGGAGAAGGACAAGAGCTTTATAATGCAAAAGATGCCACTTTTGAGCAGAGCAGGACAGACACAGCCCAAGGTCCTCCAGACAGGGCCTTTCTCCTTCCTGAATTACGTCCTGCTGGAATGTGAAACACTTGCACGTTCATCAGCACCTCCACACACACGTAGCTCAAACAGAGCAGAGCTCTGAGCGCAGGGAGAACCTCAACGCGTCCCCTGCAGACGCAGACAGACAGTCCCACCCCTCTCCTTTGTACCAGATCCACACACAGAACTAGATCCAGGCCTAGCTCTGGTTAAATGTGCCACCAGGCTTTGTGTGGCTGAATGTAGCCACATGTAGTGACACAAGGACTCTGCCAAACACTTATTTCTTGCTCAGAAATTATCAAGAGAAACGCAGCGACTGAGTGGTGCAGAGAGAAGACGTATCCATGCGGTCTCCTGTCCCAGCTGGGCCTGCAGAGAGATGGGGACACGCGGGCTCAGCACAACAGACCTGGCCACAGGATACTCCTGGAGCGTTCAAGGAGCAGAGAGAAAACAGCTCTGAACTCCTCTCACACACAGATTTGCCAAAAATACTCCTGTCTGCTCTTACACTTCTGCAAATGGCAACGCCTGGCTGGACCAAGGAACATCTGTCCCTTGATACCTGGATATCCAGCGCTGCAGAGATCCCAGGACACACACGGCAAAGCCACAAGTGTGTTCCTGGTCTGTCCCTCTTGATATCAAGAAAAAAAAATAGTAAACCTAGAGCCAGCTCCTGGCTCCTGAGGCAGCTCCCGTGCTGCAGTGTCCTCCCCCAGCCCGGGTGGAGGGAAGGGACACTCACCAGCTCAGCGTATTTCTTGCACAGCGCTGCTAGTTTCTCCTCGGGCGTGCTCAGGGTGTTCAGTGTCTGCATCAGCAAAGTGATTTCTTTGCCTGGAATGAGACACGGAATTAAAAATAAAAAAGTAAATAAATAAATAAAATAAAATCCCTTACACAGAGTTCTGGCTCATAAGGGTAAGGACAGGAGAGACAGAGCAGGTCTCGCAGCGGTGTCTGCCCTGGGCCAGAGTCACCAACTCTGGTGCCTTCTTGGGGCTCTGCCCCACAGATTTCCCCACATGCAGTGGGTGAACGATGGAAGCAGCTGGGGAGAGACCTGGTTTTCAGAGCGGGAAACCAGCAGTGGCTGAGAGAAGGGAAATCCACAGGATTCAGAGGATTCCTGCACCCAGGAGCAGTCAGTGCCTTTGCGGCACTCGGTGTGTTTCTTCACATACCACAAAACAAGATGCCGTATCGTTTCCAAATACTGCTGCACATCACCCACCCCAGGACCTCCGACCAGGTGCTTATTTCACTGAGGGCAATTAGTGCAGTATGAAATCTATGTCTGCACCAAAGTTCTCAGGCCAGCGGCACAACCAGAGCAGGGAACCTCTTACCCAGGCCCTTGGCTTTCTTCTTTTCCTGAGTCTTCTTCTGATCCCGCTCCCCACACTCCTCGCCAGGTCGAAACTCTTCAGTCCCCTTCGTGCTTTCCTTCTCCCCGTTCATCTCGGGGCCCCCCGTCTCCTGGTCACCGTTCCTGGGGGACTCGCTGCGACACTTCTCGGCCTCTTCGGGCTCAGTGGGCTCACTCTGCCCCCCGTCCTCTCCGGGCCCCTCCTGGCTGGCATCCACGCAGTACGTGTTCAAGATGTCCTCAAGCTGTCTGCTGAGCTCTTCGGAGACGTCACGCACGGCAGGCCGGGAGGACTTGGTGTCCTCCTGGGCAAGAGGAGCTGTGGGAGACAAAAGCATGAGACGTTCCCCCCGACACCTCTATTCCCTGGGCTCTGCCAGCACACGGCAGAGGGGCGGGATCCCGCGCACCCCACGGCACCGGGGCCGCCTCAACCTCCAGCAACACAAGCTGCTTTGTTCTGGCCTGGTCTCCAGGCAGCTGCCCCGACAATGGAGGTGAATTCCTAACAGCCTCTCCTTTGATCACGAGAGCATGACCAAGCCTCTGACATCTGTCAAGAGCAAAAAACTGCCCCCCCCCCCCAGCTCCCCCCCATCCTTTAAGGAAAGCAGGTTGTGCCTGAGCTTTCCCTCACAGGAACTGCCTGCTGATATCCCCAGAGCCAGGCTTTTTTACATTACAATGGATTGTTAAACCTGGGTCTCTCCTCACATCCAAGAGCAGCTCTGCCCTCTCAGATCAAAGGTATCTCATCCCCAGCAGCAGACACTCAGGGAAAGAGCAGGCACCACATCCATCCTTTGCCTCCAAAGTTTCCCCAAATAAGAGACATAGCAGTTGGTCATTAAACTAACCCTACTGGCTGTGCATTCCTTACATCCCACATTTACTAGGCATCAGAATAAAAGGCAGAATTTATTTTAATCAAACACCAACTCAATTAGACCTAGGTTTTGTCTTCCAAAGTTATTTTATGAGGTGCAAGTAACGGGGCAGGTGACTCAACATAACACTGCCCCAGGGAAAGAGCTGTCTGATATTTTCTGGATGTGACCCTCAAGGTCTAAGAAACGATAAACGACCCATCATTTTCAGGTGAGAACCAACTCCAGGCTTTGGTCAGGAAGCGGCAACTACAACTGTACACATATAGAAACAGGGAGAAACCAGGGTTTTCTGCCCCAAAATCACAGCTGCTTTTATACAAGCCAGAAGAGCTGGATACAAGAGCCCACCCCCACACACAGACAGCACCAGCCTGACTCTTCCCAGGCTCAAAACTCTCCCTCAAGCATTTCCTGCCCCCACCTTCCAGGGGTGCCGCGGCCTCTGGCGAGTCGCCCTCCTCCAGCACCAAACCGCTGCTCATTTTGGAAGAGCCACCAGACCGTGGGGCTGCTTTGGTCTCCCCGCCTTGGTTCTTCATGGCGACTGTTCTCCCGGCTCAGTCTCCACAAACCCTACAGAAAGAGAAATACAGCGACTACGCTTAATTCTACGTAGTAACGGTTTGGAGGATTTTAGAAATCATCAACCTGAACTGGGAAGGAACTTGCTCTCGGCAGAGGCTGCCACCAGCAGCTCTGTGCTGAGGAAAGCATCGTTTCGTGTTCAATTTGCGCCTCCCTGCAAAGATCTCTGTGGCAGGAGAACTGCTCTTCCAGGTGAGGAGAGCTGGAAGCGGCCCCTCCTGGGGCAAGGAGCATCTCCCAGCTCACAGACAGCACTGCAGCTTTCCCAACCCTCTGGGCATGGCCCTCCCAGCCCTGCCCTTGCTCTCCCCCCTCGCCCCCGCCGCGTTTTACTTTTGGATTTCAAAACTCGAAGCGGTCTGTGCACTCTGACAGAGAAACCCCCTCCCTGGAGCCGGGGGTCCAGAGACCAGAACCTCAAGTGAAAGGCCAACCCCCAGTGAAACCATGTGCCCGGCTGAGGAGAACCCACAGCTCCTTGGCAGAGCTGGTGCTCAGCGTCAAAAAACATTAAAGCAGCACCTCCATGAGCCAACCCGAACAGACCGAGCCCAAATCCCGGCTCCTCGCTCCTCATCCTCTCTCCCTCCGTGGGGTATGAAAGTCCTCACCCTTCCCACACATCCTCACCCTTTCCACCTGCACTCTCCCGCTCTAGTTCTGACACTAATTAATTAGGGAGTGGACGCAGCCCATGGTCCTTGTCTAGAGGCAAGGGATTGTTGCAGAAGAAGCGCAGGACGGCTCTTCTCGCCCTTTTGCAGCAGTTACACGGAGACCTCGGCTTTTCATGGAATCATGGAATTGTCAGAGTTGGAAGGGACCTTCTAGAGACCATCCAGTCCCAGTTCCCGGCCAAAGCAGGGCTGCCCAGAGCACATCACTCAGGGCTGCATCCAGGCGGGGCTTGAAGACCTTCAGATTTGGGACCCTCCCTGGGCAGCCTGTCCCAGGGCTCTGCCACCCTCACCAGAAAAAAGTTCTTCCTCATATTTGAGTGGAAATTCCCATGTTCCAGCTTGTGCCCGTTGCCCCTCGTCCTGTCACTGGGAACCACTGAGAAGAGCCCGGCTCCATCCTCCCTCAACCCACCCTTTAGACCCTTGTCAGCATTGATAAGGTCTCCCCTCAGCCTTCTCTTCTCCAGGCTGAAGAGTCCCAGCTCTCTCAGCCTTTCCTCATCAGGGCGATGCCCCAATCCCTCCATCACCTCTGTCACTATGTTTTCCCCAGAGACCAGCCCAGGACAAGGCTCGGGAAGGAAAAAAAAAGGCAAGAGCGGAGGAGCGGCGGGAGCAGCCCGGCACATGTGTCACCCGCCCACGTGCGGGCTGTGGCGGCCGTGCCCGCTCCCCCCGGGGCTGCCAGCCCCGACGCACGCCCCACACCGCCCCACAGCCTCGGGCGCTCCTTTTTTTTACCTCTACCGCTCTAAATAGCGCAATCCCGCGCCCTTCCCGAGGCTCCACCGCCACCCGACCGGCCCCGCGGCACCGGCAGCTCCCCCCCCGCCACCCCCCGAC